CGAGCATCAAAATTCATGCAGTTCCATGTCTTTCTTGGAAAGAAATATGGTTTAAAAAAGCATCCGTTAATCACTTATAAACGTTAATTAAATTAGGTTTGTACGAAAATTTACAGTTAGACCTACCTGCAGTTCCTGAGAACCCGGACACAGTGAGTTTGTATTTACTCCCTTCGTCCTCGAAATAAAATGTAGAATACCGAGTGTATGCTTCAGCGCCATCAAAACGTCCTAGCTCAACCCGGAGTTCCTGGTCCTTGTTCTTTGTCAACTCATAGATTGCGTCATTTCCTTAGAAAATATTTTAAGAAAAAATTCCGAATCCTTGTTTAAATTCCGATACTACATTTAGATAGGCACCTAATAATTTAAATACTTATCAATAAAGTAGTTTGTGTAGGGATCCCCAGATCCTTGGTTATATTTTGACACTAAATTTAGATAGAAAACTTTACATAAACTGATATTACCAATCCAGTAGTTTTGAGAGGGATCCCCAAAGCCTTGTTTATATTCTATCCACGTCCTGTAAAAATCTGTAGACCCGTCTTGTCTTCTTTGTATAGCCTTTAATAGATTAAATGATTTTAAATCGTTTTAATTTTTATAAAATGTCAGTTATTTAAGACCTTGATGCACTTATGTAAAAGATTTTGTAGAACACATGTAAATTTTCGTAAAGGTCTAAAAAAAATATAAGATCAGTAAGTAATTTTATTTTATTTGTATACGAGGTAGACTTTTTCCTCACTTTTTACCAGTTGTACTCACCATCCACCCTCCTCTATCTGTACTCATGTCACAGTAAACAGACCTTACTACTGAGGCTCACACTCACCGTCCACCCTCCTCCATCAGTACTCATGTCACAGTAAACAGACCTTACTACTGAGGCTCTCACTCACTATCCATCCTCCTCCATCTGCACTCATGTCACAGTAAACAGACCTTACTACTGAGGCTCTCACTCACCGTCCACCCTCCTCCATCAGTACTCATGTCACAATAAACAGACCTTACTACTGAGGCTCTCAGTCACCGTCCACCCTCCTCCATCAGTACTCATGTCACAATAAACAGACCTTACTACTGAGGCTCACACTCACTGTCCACCCTCCTCCATCAGTACTCATGTCACAGTAAACAGACCTTACTACTTAGGCTCACACTCACCGTCCACACTCCTCCATCAGTACTCATGTCACAGTAAACAGACCTTGCTACTGAGGCTCACACTCAACGTTCACCCTCCTCCATCAGTACTCATGTCACAGTAAACAGACCTTGCTACTGAGGCTCACACACAACGTCCACCCTCCTCCATCAGTACTCATGTCACAGTAAACAGACCTTACTACTTAGGCTCACACTCACCGTCCACACTCCTCCATCAGTACTCATGTCACAGTAAACAGACCTTACTACTGAGGCTCACACTCAACGTTCACCCTCCTCCATCAGTACTCATGTCACTGTAAACAGACCTTGCTACTGAGGCTCACACTCACCGTCCACCCTCCTCCATCTGTACTCATGTCACAGTAAACAGACCTTACTGCTCTCACTCACCGTCCACCCTCCACCATCAGTACTCATGTCACAGTAAACAGACTTGACGTGAGAGGCTATAGATAGTGTATATACTCCGTCTCTGCCCTTTAAAGTCGGATATTTCCGTAAAATGTCCCAGCAACTGTGACAATTAATTGAAAGCACTGCAAAACATACATGTATTGTGTTTGGATGTTAAGGATAAATGACACAAACAAACCTTTTTAAAACAATCAGTAATATTTCTCATAGATTTACATTGTAACCTGAATCATGTTTTCCAAGTATATTGAGAATTTTATACGTTTTTGTCTGGGTTAATGTTAAAAAGGTTTGGATATTTAATTTTCTAATAATTTAAAAACCATTTATAATCAATCACTCTTTGATTGATTTGTTGATTGTATGTTGTTTAACGTCTCCTGTTGTCTGACAAAAACCCACCATGAGTCCAAAATATTTGGTTAGGAATTATATTATGTTGTCATTGCCACTGGATAATGAGAAATATATTCTTTTACTAAGTATTTTAATGGGTCAGTTTTTGTGGTTTATGGAAGGGGGGTTGATTTGAATTCGAGGTTGTAAGATATACTAGTACGTGATTCAGTACTTTCAGTACATTTGTCGGAGAACATGAAACCGTGTGTATTTTTATGCCTTAAAAAACAACTAAAAGTAAATATTTAATCGACAATTTGTGATATCACCGTATTTGAACTTCTAATTTATTTTTAAAAATTCGACTAAAATTTGAACTTAAAAAAGAATTTAAATGCGTGAAAACGGTTAAAATATCCGAATTTTATGTGAATCTATATGGATTTTATGAAAAGATTTGATATATATAAAATGAGCAATTTTGAAAAGTTTGGTTTCAGTTATCAAAATATACATTACACGATATTATGAAAATTAATAGAATCCACATTTATATATACCTTTTGACAGAATCCTGTTGTGTTCATTCAGATCCTCTCGAACATTGTTGATCGTTTCATTTACAGACACTGCGAAACTCTCGAACTTGTCCTCCATCTTGTTAATCTGTCTGGCGAGTAATTCCACGGCACTGATCTGTAATGTGGCGTTCACTTCATTCATCTGGTCTTGAAGAACCTCAATTCCTTGACTAAGTCCTCGATCATTGTTTTCCAGATCCAAACTTTGATTTCGAATGTCTTTATCAAGTTCTTTAATTTTTTGGAGGTTCTTGTTTACTTCCATTACATGCGATTTATTCAGAGTGTTTATTCTATCTAATGTTCTCTGGTCCAATGACTTCAGTGTCTCTATATCTTTTCGAACACCTCTTTCCATTTGTTTTATAGTATTATTTAACAAATCAAGTTGTCTTTCAAAAGCTGAATTTTTCAAGGCTAGTTTAAGATTTTCATCGTGGAGAGCTGAAGCCCTACTTTGTATTTTCTGATCCAGATTTTGAATTTCGTCCTTTGTAAAGTTCCTATTGTCATTCACTCTCCCATATACCACCTTTAATTCCTCTTTAAGTTTGGCGTTTTCTTCCTCCATAATTTGACCTCTTGTCTCCAAATCCTGTAAGTCCTTTGTCACCTCACTTAGCTTTGTCTTTATAAGTTGTCCATCTTTTTTTCTGTCTATGGCATCCATCACTAGATTCTGTATTTTTTGCACCATAGAGAAGCGGACCAGACTTTCCTGATTCAGAATGTCACGTAGGACGCTGGACGCTCTATCTGACACGGTACTGGGTAACATATTAGATTTTTCAGATGCTTTTTCAGGTAATGGTATCTGACAAAAGGATCCGTAAACGGAAATCGATAGCATTAAGCAAAGTACTTTAAGTGATCCCATTTTCACGAAAGTTTCTGATGGGTAAGAAACCGTTTATATAGTGCAAGACTAGGCTTTGATTATCTAAGCAATACGTGTAGCACTCAGAAAAATAAGTGTTTATCGCTGAATAGATGAGAACTTTAATATTAATTTGTTATAAACAAATTGAAGTAATACATTATCAAAGGTATATCACACAGACGTGAGTGTTTCCTTGTTTTTTTATTGTTTGCGCGAAGACATTTTAGAATACTTTTAGATATACTTTCAATCTTTTATTGAAAACTTTGTTATTTATATTCCATATCTAATCACTATTTTCTATGTTTCTTCTGAGTCGTTAATGCAGAAGCTTTCGTATGTATCATGAAATGTTAAGGGGTAATTGAAATATCTATTGGAAGATGTAACATCGGTAATTGAAAAAGTTGTAGGTAATAATGTTGCCTAATTTTATACATCGTGAATTCTCTCTCTCTCTCTCTCTCTCTCACACACACACACACACACACACACACACACACACACACACACACACAGTAAAACCTATATAGGTGCAAATAACACTATAGTAACATAAATATGTACGCGATTTTTAAGTACGTTTCGTTTCTCGTTTCAATTTAAAACAGATTATCTTTCCAATGAAGTTTTACATTAAAATAAATATACAAAAGATAGTGGCAAAGGACTAAAGTACTGAAAGAAGCTTGTAGCGACAGTTTCAAAAGTGGAAGGAGGGCAACACTCCCCCCCCCCCCCCCGAAAAAAAACTGACAGCCAAAGAAAAAAACCTAAACTACAAAAAAGTGTGCATTTACAGTCCAAGTCAAAAATCTAATTAATTCTCATGGATTTTGGCAGAGTTACAACTTACAGCGACAAAAGTTATGGGAGAGGGGAGAGAACCAGAATATATAAGAAAAATTATTATAGCAAAAGTACTATACGCAAAAATAGTGGAAGGGCGGAGCCTCTGGCACCATTGTGGTTTACGGGCCTGTGGAAATTACTAAATAAAATGAAGCTATATATATTATGAAGATATGGGGAAGAGATTTTTTTAAAAAAATTTCATATTAGCAGTTTTGTATTAAGTTGTCATTTCGTAAGTTCTTTCATAGATGCAATGAATTTGTCGGTAGATGCAATACCGAAAATATTACCAAACGTTTACCCCTTGTAAATAATAATTAATTACATAATATTCGACATTTAGATATATCGACAACGTTTCATCAAATATCAATATTCATTTTCATTCTAACATTGATGCCATAAATCCCAGTGAACTCGAAAAAAAAATACTATAGAATCTGACATATCCGTTTCATATTTAGATGTTTACCAGAAAACATTTATGACACACTAACAACAAAATCTAATGATAAACGCAATGACTCAAAAACAAGACTGTCACCTTTAAAAAGTATTGACAGAATTTTTTTTATTGCACATATAACAAATATGATTTTTTTAAAAAATAAATTGTTTAACTCTGTATAGTTTTTTTCTGGTCTGAACCTGTGAAGATTTTGCCACAGTAACTGTTTTCTGAATCAATAAAGGTTTTATTTATACGTCTGTTATGAAATACATAGTGTAAATAACATTTATCTTACATTACATTCTGACTCAGTTTTTGTGTCTTATCATCATCAACATCTTCTTAAGCGCTTCATCTTGGCCTGTCCATGTCCTCCATATAACGTACTTGTGACCAGTTACAGCAGACTTAGCGTACTGCCCGTTCAGGTTGGCATGGTGACAGTTCTTATACCACCAGGCTCCGTGATAGTCTGTAGCACACTTCTGAGCGTTGTTCTGATCTTTAGTGAAAAACTTGGCACCATTGCTATAATTCAAACTGTCACCTAGAAAAAAAGCATTGAAATTATAAATGCATAAGCTCATTGTAAAAAGAAATGTAGACAGTAGTCATTGTCCTATTATTTAGAAATAAATATCACATACATGTATAGGATGTTTTAAGGATTAAGGTGATATTTACTTTCTGAAAGATTTTTATGATTTTAAACAGAAAAGGTTGGAGATAAAAAGTCACAATATATTTAATTTTTGCTTTTTTATCGTTTATGGTGAAAGCCGGAGCTCAGTAGTGACACATTTTCCGAAATTGTCCAATACGCTTGTAGAAAAAAGTTTGATATCTTCTACAATGACAAAACTTTGTTTTATGTCGTTGTAGTTATTGATGCGCACAGAGGATCTTACCACGAACAATTGACTTTGCAATGCTAATTTGACAACTACATGCTTACATTTAACTTCAAACACGTGGTTCGGGTCAATCTGATTTAAAATTGACCATGTTAACTGCAACGACCAATTCGTAAGAAACTGTATTACAAAAGTAATGCAAAGATAAGAAACTGTTCTTTACAAGAAGATGTACAAATCATAACATATGAATATTAAATTTGCAAATTACATTTTAGTAACATGTAGTCTGTACAACGTTAGGAACAATAGCACTATAAAGTTAAGGAAATTGGGGAGCATCTTTTAGATACTTATATATTCATGATCTAGAAGGTGTAGGGGATAAGCCTGAAAAGTACTAATTTTTCTTTGCTTTTAATTGCAACTAATATACATCTAATATTTTATATAAAAACGAGTGTTTATCCATTACTTTAAGAAAAAACAATAAAAATGACGATATTGCGAATAATTTTGAATCACCAAATTGATATCATATTTTAAAAAATGTTATTTCATAAATTTAATATTTATATACGACACTTAATTTCCCACATAATTATGAATAAATAAATACCACGGTACATTTGAAAAAATCTTGCTTTGATAATGCTATTGATATGGACCATATATTGAATATTGTTGAAATAATATGGTGAAAGATGGGGATACATGTATACGTCCATGGAGCACTCTTAGTATGAAAAATTGCAAAAAAAATATTAATTTTGAGGCTTTTTATTTACATTAATTGATATTCGAGTAATTTTAAGAGAAAGAATAATATCATTTTTACCATTTAAACTCTCTGTGTAGGGATCAACCTTAAGGAATAATTGTCTAATTTTTTGGTTTCATGATTTGATCAATCGATGGGTTGATAATTTTAAGCATTAACGCTTTCGGCGCAATCGATTGATCATCGTCAGAAACCAAAAACATCTGACAGTTATTCCTTATAATTACATGCTCTTGATTCCACCAATCCACGTGTTTTAAGCCCCGCTCCTGTCTCTATTTGTCACGCCCCGTACGTGGGTTTTTTTTTAACCACGATGAACCAGTAGATTTATGTAGAAAGAAAGTACTTTACTACCGAGGTATTTGTAATTTCATTTCGGACAAAAACACTGGGACTCAAGAGAGATGAAGTATATGGAGATAACAAACAGAATTCAATATCAAAGTCCATAAAACAATACAAAATAGGAGCAGAGCAAACACAGACCCCCGAAACATCAGAAGTGGGATCAGGTGCTATGGAGGAGCATCCCCTGCCGACTGGTCACACCCGCCGTGTGCTCCTTGTCATTATCCGGAAATAACGGAAAATTTCGTTGACAATCCAGTGTAAAAATAATTGACTAATAATTAGTATGAAAACCGTTAGTCAGCATATGACTCAATGATAAATTGCAGTTCCTGAAAAGGTCATTGTATTGACCATAGAACTTACGAAATGATGACTTTAAACGAGACTGCTAATATTCTTTTTTCATCAACTGGTTTATCAATATTTACCTCGTTTTAGAAATCGTTCATACTTAGAGCATGTTCTTGCGTATCAAATCAACTGAGATATATAAACTCTGTATACAGGCTATGGAGGTATTTTGCGGCGTAAGTAATGGAAGATGATGATATAAAGTCAATCATGATTGGTTGTTAGATTACTGTAGACGTATTTTTTTCCACGGTGTCATAATTCCGCGGAATCTCAATTTCTGTTTAATCCACGGGTAGAAAATTACGCGGATTTCTTAGACTGTCACTATATGTCTTATATATATACTTATATTAAGTACTTGGACAAATTTCTGCGGAAAATTTGTAACCGCATACATAGCATAATTTAATACCACGCGGAAAAAAAGTACTTCTACAGTATCGTTAACGTCTCTCTCAAGTAAAATATCCAAGTATGAAACAGATGTGTCACATTGGTTCTTGTAACACTTAACAATTCAAATTTTTAAAATAATTTAGAGTTTTAGAATGTTAATATATTAGTTCAAATTTGTAAATTTCAAAAACGCAAACTGATTTGTTATATTGAAATTTAACATTTTACTTCAAAAATCTAAATTTCCAAACAGATTTTAGAATTTTAAGTTTTTCGATTTTTACCTTAAATATTCAAAATTCAAATTTCCAAAAACAAATTTTGTATTTTAGACTTTTGAGTTTTTAATCTACCGTTTGTTTAGAAAGTTTACGCTTAACAATCGTCTTTTGATTATTTTAAATTTACTTCAAGCTTCCAAATTTCAAACGCTTAAGATTTTTAGAATTTTAGAATATTGATTTAAAAACACAACATTTGAATAACCAAAACACTTTTATACATTTTGATTTTTTAGAAATTTACTTCAAATATCCAAAATATCAAATTCCGTACCTGCATGGTTTAAATTTTGTATCTTTCATTTAAAATTCTAAAAAAAAAAAAAAATCAAAGAGTTAAGATTATTTGAAGTTAGAACATTTGAATAATTTCTAAAAATCTACTACGTTTCAAAGTTGGATTTCAGTAATTTCAAATAATCAAAAGACGAAAAATATTATCGAATTTTAGATTATTACTTGTAAGTGTAAACGTTCTGAACAAAAACTGTGAACTAAAATCTGAAACGTTTAAATTCCATTTATCGTTTTTGGAAATTTGAATTATGAAAATTTAAGGTAAAAATCTAAAATATTAAAATTTTAAAACCTAATTGGAAATTTGGAAATTTTGTTTTTTGAATTAAATTATTAAATTTCAATATACCAAATCAGTTTCAATTTTTGAAATTTAGAAATTTGAACTATTATATTAACATTTTAAAACTCTAAAGATTTTTAAAACTAAAGATTTAATGTGTTAAGTGTTACACGGACCCAGATTCTGTGAAATCTTTTATCTCAAGCTCATCAGGATATATCGTATTAACATAGGAATGAAAACTACAATAATTGTTAATTGACAATATGTCATTGATATTTCTGTATTAATGTCGAGTTGAAGGTCACAGCAAGTGTTTTCCTCTTTTCACGCATACGATTTTGCTTCATATGAATCAGATTTAGGAACATTTTTACAGATACTTTACAGTGACAAAAATTGAAACGCAATATAACTCGCTATAGTCTCGCTATATCTCGCCAGAAGCTGCCAAAGCTACTGCAAACTTCATTTTTATGCCCCTTAATAAAAAATTCAGATATATGCAGTTTTTGCCCTCTCCGTCCATCTGCCTGTCTGTCTATTTGTTTGTTTATTTGTTTTCCAGCGAAAACTTTAACCTTGTCCATAACTTTTGAGTGGTTGGGGCTATGGCTTTCATATTTCACAGATTTATTCCTTTTGATAAGGTCATTTTTTTGGTAGCATGAAAGGACGGGAACGATTTTGATTAGCATTCGGCAGGAATCTGGGAGTACTTGAAAAATGAAAATTTTATCGACATGTCTCATGAATTTTTTACATTTTGTTTTATTGGGTTCCTATGAAAAGGGAAACGAAAATAATTTCCGGATAGTGAGTTTTGATTTGCTTAAAAATAACTTCAAAATTGGATAGATCGGACATTTGGGACAAAATGGTACATCTTTAAACACTTTTTTTCTCATTTTTTTTTTACTATCTCTGGGTCTTCTCTCCATGATTTTAAAACGTTCTTTGTGTGCATTTTATTTCAAAGAAACGAACATGCATAAGCAAAAATGGAGAGAGGACCCAAGATTCTTTTCCAAAAAATTCAATTGTGTAAATATGATGCTTCTTTGTCCCTTTAAAATGACTAGATTAGGTATAGCAGTGATGGCTCTATAATATGGATTACCTGTTTAGTGCACTATAGATTAAGAAAAACGGACATAAATGTTATAATCTGACAAGGTATTTCAATCCAAATGAAAGAAAAATCCTATGGCTCATGTGACTGTGTTTGTAAAATCGGGCTAGCAATGGACAGCCAACCAAATCATGGACATTAAACATTTAAACCATAAATGCTTCGTACAAATGATTTCTGCAGATCACACGCCAAATCCGCCCACCGTCTTTGACCTCGTTACTTTTCCCTGGAGTTTAAACCAGTTTTACCAAAAATTTCCGAAATAAAAATAGCCATAACTTTTAAAGAAGTTGGTACCAGGGCTTTAATTCGTCGCCCGAGTATTTACTGTTTTGAACATATTTTATTGACACCATGTCAAAGGGATTAGACACAAGTTCCAAAAACTTAGGTAGTCTTCTCCCGTAGAGTGGTATTTACTGTAACCAAATCCATCATTGGGTATAAAAATATTTAACCTTTCGACCTTGACCTAAGAGTTTGACAAATTTCAAAAAACTTTGAGCACAACTTTTGAACCGTTAGTTCTAGGGCTTTTTCTTATTTCACAGTTGTATTTTTTGTGACAAAACCTTTTATTTGGTATAAATATATTTTACCTTTTCACCTTGATCCACATTCAAATTTTAACCTTAACCATAACTTTAAGACTGTTAAAACTATTCTTTCTCATGTCATTGTTGTATTCCTTGTGAAAAGACATTTTACCAATATTCAAGAAAACTTTAACCTTGACCAGACCTGTTGAACTGTTGGCACTTAGGCTTTCATATTTCACAGGTGCATTTTTTGAGAGAAGACCTTCCATTGGGTACCAACAATTCTGACCTTTTGACCTTGACTTGGTGTTTAACTTGCATCAGAGACATTTCAACCCTAGCAACAAGCTGCCATACGGGGGCATCAGTGTTTCACGAACACATCTTGTTTAATTTGCAGAATACAGAGTAATATAAAGTTTCGAACACTTTAATAGGAGTGCTTTGGAAAGGAGTTGAAATGCCCTTCCGGAAAACAGAAAGATGACTGACATTCCGATCATGCTTAGAGTATTTCGCATATCATTTCTTGCACGCTAACTTTTGACAAAAACGTTTTGTTTTTGTTTTCAACATTTATTTCCCAGACTTATAACAATGAACATGTCATATGTAAAGCAGCTACCAGTGTACCAAAAGGTATGAAGAATACCAACCAACCATGATACCAACCAAATACCCTAACCCTATCCTTTCATACAAAATGTTCTTAGTCTACATGTGCGGATCTGAAGGGGGGTCGGAAGGGGGATCCGGAACCCCCTGGAATTTGCATAAATATTTAAGTGATACACAAAACCAAGTTAAAAGTGATCATGACCCCCCTCCCTAGAAAAAGGAGACCCCTCTTTGAGAACGTGGACTTGTTTTAAGCTCGCAAGAAAAGTAATAGGTATAAAACGTATTAGAAGTCAAATAAGCTGTCAGCAAATTTCTGTCATCCCGACCCCCCTCCACCAAATAGGATTTTTTTTTTATTTCTGTCAACCACTTCCCTCCCCCACCGAAATAGGATTTTACACGTTTGGGCAATTTTTTTTCAACATTTTTTTTAGTTTAAGGGTACTTACCACAAACAAAAAACGGATGCGCGGGTTGATATATATTTTTTGACTGATTTTGATTTGAAATGACATAAATAATAAATCCCTGAAATATAAAGAAATCGTAGGTTTTCCTTGGTGCTTAGATATGAGATTTTGTTTTGCCTTCTATATAATTCCATACAAAATTTTGCACAATTTTTTAACTTTATGACAAAATCTTATATAATTCTCCCACTCTACTAGGTAAACATTATTCAGATTGTCAATTTGAATGTAAATCTGTGAGAAATAATGCTGATTTCTGAAAAAAGTTTGCTTGTGTTATTCATCCTTAAGTTGAATCTTTTTTTTTACTGTGGTGGGCCCCCCTTGGAAAAAATACCTGGATCCGCGCCTAGAATGCCTTTTATAATATATGCACTATGAAACTTTAGCGTTACATACCTTTAACTTCTAACATGTGATGACTTTTAAACTTTGCAAATTTTCTACACCTACCCGCCGTTCCTGAACTCCCCGACGCAGTGAGTATGTATTTACTGCCTTCATCCCCGATATAAAATGTGGAGTACTGAGCGTATGCTTTGTCACCATTAAATCTTTGTAACTCAACCCGGAGTTCCTGGTCCTTGTTCTTTGTCAACTCATAGATAGCGTCATTTCCTATTTTAAAGAAATATCGATATACTTTTGTATTGTAAGTGTTGCCCATTAATTTGCAAGCATAAGTTTGTAAACATGGTAACATGAAAACTAAATGTGAATTCCATGTGATTCTCTGTAAGTTATATTAGAACTTTATATGGACTTTCAAATCAATGTAATTGTATTCATTTTTCCCCAACTGTCCGCAAAAAATTATACCAGGCCTTTGAAAGAGCTTAAAATCTACCATTTTTCCCCAGTAAAAATCCTACCTAAAAACGGGGGAATATTTTTTATATGAAATGAAGTTAATGAATATCTAAAAAAAATTATAAAGCAATGTGTTTGGCAAAAGGGTAAAGTCATGTACATATCTTGTTCTATTAGAGATTTTTTATAAGTCAAAAAGGGTCATTTTTCATCAAAATTTAGCGATTTTTAGGCAATGAAAAATGTATGTTGGTTGCCATGGTAACCATGGACCATAGCAACCTTTTTATAATGAATTTTAGTTTCATACATCAATTTTAAAATATATTCCAAGTTTCATGAAAATCCATGACATAGCGTGCCACGCTCTCCGTATAAATGAGTTTAAAGGCTTACAGATCTAGAGAATGGCTATTAAAATTTAAATGTTACATAAATAAATCTTACCAATCCAGTAGTTTTTAGATGGATCCCCAAATCCTTGTTTATATTCTGACCACGTCCTGTAAAAGTCTGTAGACCCGTCCTGTCTTCTTTGTATGGTCTTTAACAAATCAAATAATGTTGAATTCGTATTAATTTAATAAAATGTACGTAAATTAAGATCTTGATGTACTTATTTAAAATATATTGAAGAACAGATATAAATTTGTAAAGAACATCTAAGATCAGTAAGTAATTTCATTTTCTAAGTACACGAAGAAGACTTTTTCCTCACTTTATTAAAAGTTTTACTCACCGTCCACCTTCCTCCATCTGAAATCATGTCACAGTAAACAGACCTTACTACTGAGGCTCACACTCACCGTCCACTCTCCTCCATCAGTACTCATGTCACAATAAACATACCCTACTACTGAGGCTCACACTCACCGTCCACCCTCCTCCATCAGTACTCTTGTCACAGTAAACAGACCTTACTAATGAGGCTCACACTTACCGTCCACCTTCCTCCATCAGTACTCATGTCACAGTAAACAGACCTTACTACTGAGGCTCACACTCACCGTCCACTCTCCTCCATCAGTACCCATGTCACAGAAAACAGACCTTACTACTGAGGCTCACACTCACCGTCCACCCTCCCCCATCAGTACTCATGTAACAGTAAACAAACATTACTACTGAGCTTCACATTCATTGTCCACCCTCCTCCATATGTACTAATGTCGCAGTAAACAGACTTTACTAATGAGGCTCACACTTACCGTCCACCTTCCTCCATCAGTACTCATGTCACAGTAAACAGACCTTACTACTGAGGCTCACACCAACCATCCACCCTCCTCCATCTGTACTCATGTCACAGTAAACAGACCTTACTACTGAGGCTCTCACTCACTATCCACCCTTCTCCATCTGTACTCATGTCACAGTAAACAGACTGTACTTCCTAGGCTCACACTCATGTCACAGTAAACAGACCTAACTACTGAGGCTCACACCCATCGTCCACCCTCTTCCATCGGTACTCATGTCACAGTTAACAGACCTAACTACTATGGCTCACACTCACCGTCCACCCTCCTCCATCTGTACTCATGTCACAGTAAACAGACCTTACTACTGAGTCTCACACTCATCATCCACCCTCCTCCATCTGTACTCATGTCACAGTAAACAGACCTAACTACTATGGCTCACACTCACCGTCCACCCTCCTCCATCTGTACTCATGTCACATTAAACAGACCTTACTACTACTGAGGCTCACACTCACCGTCCACCTTCCTCCATCAGTACTCATGTCACAGTAAACAGACTTGACTTCAGAGTCAATGGATATTCTGTATACTCCGTCCCTTCCTTTTAAACTCGGAAAATACCGTAAAATGTCCCAGCAACTATGACAACTTATTGAAATAACTGAAAAATAGATTCATTTGCTTCATTGGATGTAATTTATTGCCACCACTTTAGCTAAAGCAAGAGGAAATTCAATCTCATTCGTCTATCAGTGTGTCAGTTTTAGTTCTGTCTTTCACAAAAACTTTAACATATCTTTTAAATGAGAGAAGATGAGGCTCTCATATTATAAATATATTTTACCTTGACAAGACTATTCTAAATACACTTTGAATTTGAACCTTGTGGTTTTGATCCCGAAGTTTGGTGATTAAACATTATTTTGTATTGGACTTTTTCGAAGACACTGACTTTTACAATCGACGGCTTACTTTTACACCAGGAAAATATATGGGGACTCTTTTGTGAAAAAATTTTTGATCTTAACATTTAACAAAACCATAAAAACGGTCTGTTTCAAAGATCATATATTACGTTGTCTAGAACAGTAACGGCAACATATCCACCTCAATACACACCATTGCAGCCTTGATTAGCTGCTGCCGAGTTTTCCTTCCGAAATGTGTTTTATTCTTTATTTATTTTCTGAAGTTATTGTAAATAAAAGGATTTACTAATTCTTATGAATAATTTTATTCTACCACCTATCATAATTTTGTTTTGCAAATAATTTCAAAGTCCCTAATACCATAACTTTCACCTCCTTGATTGTTTTCTTATCTATTATCAATTCCGAAACTCCGAACTTGACGCAGGTTTAAATGTCCAAGTAATCCGTCAGCTGTCAAAGTCAGTGTCTTTGCAAATGTCCACTGGCCATAGTTTTTGAATCAGAAAGGATATTGCTTTCATATGAAATGTGTGTATTACCTTTGACGACATCGTTCTAAAAACAGTACCGGCATGTTTACCCCTCTGACCTTGAAGTTTGATTTCTTTTAACAATTTTTTTTCCTTTTCCATAACTTTTAAATGAGGAAGATAGGGCGTTTATTGCCTTGAACAAGGCCTTTCAAAACGCATGTACCCTTTAATTTTTGACTGCGTGACCTTAAACTTTCACTTACTTTAAAAAAAACGCGATTTTGAATTAGCCATAACTTTTAAGTATAGGACTTTCATATTAAACATGTGCATGAGAAAACCTTTTTAAAACGCTTTGATTTTTTTGACCTCGTGATCTTGACCTTGAAGTTTGATCAACTTTTCATTTGTAATAACTTTGGAATGAGAAGAGATAGGGCTTTCAAGATAAAGCTGTGTATTTCCAGAGACAAGAGGTTGCTAAATACACTATGATATTTGATCTTGTGGTCTTGAAGTCTAACCTACTTTTTTAAAAATGGAAACATTGCATTGAATTGGCATAACTTGAGATGAGAAGAGATATGGCTTTCACATTAACGTGTAATAAGACTTTTTTAATAGCACTATGATTTGTTTTTACCTCGTAACCTTTAACCTTGGTCATGACTTTTAAATGAGAAGAAATAGGGTTTTTATATTAAACATGTGGAATGCCTGTGACAAGACCAATTTCAATACACTGCGACCTTTTTTCTCCGTGACATTAACCTTGAAGTTTAACCCATTTTTTAAAATTTGAACATTACATAATATTAGCTTTTACATGAGAAGAAATAGGGCTTTCATATCAAAATGTGCATTGTCTCAAATAAAACCTTTCTTTATACGCTATTATTTTTGACCTTGTGATCTTGTTCTTGAAGTTTGAACTACTTTTCAAAAACCCAAGACTTTTGAATGAGAACAGGGCTTTAAAACTGGGTATTGCTTGTGGCAATACCTTTCTAAATACACTTTTTGTCCCCCGTTTTTGCAAAAGCGGGGGAGATTAAATCTACTTCGTCTATCGGTCATCCAGCTAACTATCTGTCCGTCCATCCGTCACAAAAACATGAACCTTGCCCATAACTTTTGATTTAGTGGAGCTATGACTTTCATATTTCACAGGTGTATTCCTTGTGACAAGACTTTTCTTTGGATACAACCAAATTTAACCTTTTGACCTTAACCTCAGAGTTTGAACCAATTTTACATAAAAAATTTTATACTGTTTTGGCCATGACTTTTGAACAGTAAATACTAGGACTTTTATATTTTACGTAAGTATTTTTGTGGCAAGACCTATTATTTGGTATCAACAACTTTGACCTTTTGACCTTGACCTTTGAGATTTTCGTACTTATGAAAAAGGTTTAACCTTGGTCATGCCTTTAAAACGGTGAGGGCTGGGGCTCTTATACTTCATATATGTAATTCTTAAGAAATGTCCTTTCAATGGACATAAAGAACTTTGACCTTCTGACCTTGACCTCGAATTTTGCCCACTTTTTAAAAACTTTAACTTGGCCATAATGTTTAAAGGATTAGCGCTGAGGCTTTCATAGTTTCCATATCTAATCCTTGTGACAAGAGCTTTCATTGGATATCAAGCATTTAGACCCTTTGACTTTGACATTGGAGTTCGACCTACTTTTAAAAAACTTTTATTTAATTGGCCATAAATTTTGAACAGTAAAGGCTTTCATACTTTTCATATTTATACCTTGTGAGTTGTGACAAGACCTTTCATTAGATAGCAATATATTTGACCTTCTGAAATTGACCTTCGAGTTTGACCTACTTTTAAAAAGACGTTGACCATAACTTTAAAAGGATAATGGCTTTCATACTTCACGTATTTATTCCTTGTTACAAGACCATACATTGGATATCAACATTTTTGACCCTTTGACCTTGAACATAGCTTTTAAATGGTGAGGGTTGGGGCTTTCATACTTCACATATGTAATCTTTGTGAGAAGACCTTTCATTGGAGACTAAGAACTTTGAAACTTTACCTTGACCTTTTAAAATTAGGGTACGAATATATTTTATTTGCATTTAAGAAAAGTTTGATCTTCGCTTTGTTGCCAAACAAGGTCACCAGTGTTTCACGAACGCATCTTTATTTTCTTTTAACTTTTGATTGAGAAGAGATAGGGCTTTCATATTTGACATGTGCATTACCTATGACAAGATATTTAAGAGCATGCTCTGATTTCTGCCTCCTTGAACGATTGACCTTATTTTTTAAATAATTCAACTTTGGTGATAATTTCTTAATGACATATGATAGGGCCTTCATATTTGACATCTCAACCACAAAGACACCGAAAGCGGGGGACCACAATTCTTTGAATGTGGTTGTTATTTTTAATATATCTAATAAATAGTATCTAATGAAATACTACCAAAAATCTAAAGAATTTAGAACGTTCAATATCTTGACATTTTATTGAACGCCGAGTTTGTAATGTGTATTCGAGTATGCCCGAAACATTCCGAATACGAACGTTCAATATTGCACGCCCCGATGTAAACAAAAAAAAGTCGTCTGGTCAAATTCTAAGAGCTAAATTTTAGAAAAGGAGGTGGCATCCAGGTTAGATGTGTTTATTTTTTTACACAAAAAATGAAATGATTTTTTTTTATTATTATTATGTATTACACCCATCAAAACCTCAAATTACTGCGGAAAAAATTCTATAGAATGTGCAATAGTCCGAATTTTCTTTTCGCCCAGGCGTTGTGGCTCGTACGTTATCGCTCGCATGCTCGTGCATTTGTATATCCAACTTGTGCCAATATTTACAAATATAAGTTCAATAACCCTATAATATATTTACTTGATATTTAATTTCATGATCTTAAGTTCTTAACCTTAAAGGCTAT